CACAAGGTGTGTTCTGGAATCACTTTGCTGTCCTTCACTCTGCCTCTGCCCTTCAACAGAAGTTATTAGCAGGAGCACTGAGTCACGCTGTCGGGCTTGCTGCACACTAGGTCTGAACACGTCACTGCTGCTTTCTCATTCAGCTTCTCGACAGAATTGGCCACATCTGCTTGTTGCCCCAGTGCACACATGGAGAACCTGTTGCTTAGGGAGAGTATGCGAATATGTGCTTCTTTCCTGTAATACTGGCTATAACCTTCCTCCATCACGCTTCCCTCTATTTGCCCCTTTTTTCTCCCATCCATCCTCATCCAGACAACAGTGCTGTCCCACAATCCTGTAGGTTTTCTTACTGTAGAATCTCTGAATTCAGAGCTAAGGTGCTGTCAGTATAATTGGGGATTGTATTGCCACTCCATTTCTCCTTTTAGATGTTATCTAGGTATGCCTAATACCAGTTTAGCATTTAATGTATACCAGAACCTTTTTCAAACCCCCTAAGTGCAACACTCATATATATTTACAGTGACTTAGATAAAGATACTGTTACTGCTTCAGTTGAGGACACTGAGACACAGAGAAGTTAAATAACTTGCCTAGAAAATACAATAAGAGATAGGGTGAAGAGTCAGGTACTTAGGTTTGCATTCCTACTGAGGCCTATTCTCCTCGACTTAGCAGAACTTGGCACAGCTGGTCACTCACTCCTTTGTTTTCAAACCGTTCTTTATTTGGCTTCCAAACCATCTCACTCACCTGGTTCTCCTGTATCTCTGCTTTCTCCATCTTAGTCTTCTCTGTTGTGTCCTCTTTATCTCCAGATTTCTAGAAGTTAAAGAACCCCAGAGATCACCTTTGAGCCTATTCTCCACATTTTTTCCATAGATGATCTCATCCAGCTTCACAGCTTCAGTATCAGCTCTACACAGACAATTCAGTATCTCCTGCCTGGAATTCTCCCACGGAATGCAGATTCCTACTATTGAACTTATCCACATGATATCTAAAAACAACCTCAAAATGAGCACACCCAAAATGAAGCTTCTGTTCTTCTTACACAAACTTCCTCAACTCTGTTCTTCCAGTTGTCTTAACCAAAAAAAATGGGTGTTATCCTTGACTTATTTTTTTCCCCATCAAAACACAACCACTTAGCAATGTAAAATATTTCCAAAGTTTGACCATTTTTTACCATCACCACTTCTATCACCACTCTAATTCAAGCCACTGTCATCTTCTGTCTGGATGCTGAATGGTATCTAGTGAGCCTCTCTGCTTCTCCTCTTCCCTCCTTGCCAACTAGAGCGAGTTAAGTGAGGTAATTGCCTTCAACATAAAATCTAAGAGGGGTGCCCCAAAACTCAGTAATCAAGACTAATGATATTTCAATGCAATTTTTTAAATCAAAACCAATGCACATATCCATTATGAACAAAATAATAAAATTTTCAATAAAAAGGAGTAGACCTTGCATTTGCAATGCTCACTTCCCTGCTTCATCCTAATTTAAGCCCTGCCTCTTTGCTTCAATATATCCTCAAAATCAGAAGGATCCTGTTAACACGTGAGTAAAATATTGCCAGTCCTCAGCTTTACGTCCCAGCATAAAAGACATGTGTGTGATAATATCCTCCATGCTCTGCTCATCCATTCACTCTGACCTCAGCTGCGTCTCTCCACACTCACTCAGTCCCTCCTGCAGTACACTGGCTTCTTCACTGTTCATCAAGAGCCTCCCAGCTCAGGCTTTACATTTGCCAGCTGCTGCCCAGAAAACTCTACCCACATACAACCCTCACATCACCCAGATCTCTTCCCAAGTTCACTGTATCATGAACACACTTTCTAAATCTCACCCATGAACACCTTCTTCACATTCCTCTTCATAAGTTCTTGATCTTATTTATGGACTGCCCCACCCAATATAAAACTCTATGAAATGTTTCAGGGGAAAGGGTCTATTTTGTTCTGTTACATCCCGAACGTCTTGAAAATTCTTGGAAGATAGATGATCAATAGTTTTTAATTAATAAGTGATAAATACTCATGGATGCTTTGATCTAATTCCAAGGATCTCAAAGCTGGCTGTGTATAGTTTCGAATTCTATGTCTCAATAAATGACACTGGGACTACTCTTTCAAAATGCTATTGTCTCATATCTGAAGAATTTGTAATATGCAAAATTAGAAAATGCATTGCAAAATGTTATTTCAAATTGACCAAGCTTTCCAGCAAAAGTTTAACTTGCCTAAAAAGTACTTATGTGGGATTCAAGATAACCCCTTAAATTAGGTCAATATTGGGAGAGGGGGTTGCTTTAGGAAATAAAAATTTAAGATCAGGTGCTGTATGGTAGTTTGGGATTTTGTTGTTCTTGGGTAATTGAGCTGGGCATTGGGCACAGGGACCCTCACTTGCTAGGCAAGTGCTCTACCATTCAGCTATGCTCCAGCCCCTTGAGTCCCTGCTACAGTGAATTCTGAATTTCCTTTCTTGATTTCCAATGAGTTGAGACTAAATTCAGAAGCTATAGAAATCTTTCCAATAACTTTAGAGTGAGTTCCTGTGAAATCAGAAGACTTTCCTGATGTCAAAATACATTTAATAACCTTTTCTAATTATTAACCAAAACTAAAGACAGGTTTTGCAAGTGCAAAATTGTCAGGTCACCATGAACTATTATCTTTTGGGTAGAACAGATAAAGTTCAGCAAATCTATCACTTGGCCAAAGAGTATAGACTTTGCCTTCAAATAGTGTAGGACATGCATAAGTAACCCCACTAGACCTTTCACAGCATGCCTGCTCTTGCAGGTTAAAATCAGCTCAGTGGGAGAGTTTGAGTAAGTCCTGATGAGAAAGCCATTTTAGTAACTCGGGGAAAGTGCAAATTAAATTTTGTCTTAAAGCTAGTTTATTTCATTGTTTTATTTTTATTAATCTTCAAAAATGACTTCTGTAGTTTTATGTACCTGTTTTAAGAGGACTTATACTGTCTCACAGATATTTCTTTAACTCCTTTTGCCAGAAGTTTGGGGTCATAGACTGAGTGCAGGTCTCGAAGGACTTCATATGTGTAGTATCCATAGAAACAGCAATTAATTATACTCTGAATGCATCAGTAGAGCTAGTTATCCCAACCTAAATTGCTGTGTGTATATCAAATCAACTGAAGAGAGAAATTCTAATTTTTCCTAGCAAAATACAAAATCAAGATTTTTTAGAAAACCACTTTTGCAAAGTGTAGACACTAAAACTAATACGTTACTTTACTGAGTTCACAGACTGCCCATAAAACATGTGCCCTAAAGCTGGGGAGCACATGAGGCTGGCATACAGAGAACACTAAGTAGTACTTTTTAAAAGAATGAACAAAGCTGGTCATGTGGTATGTGCCTGTAATCCCAGCACTTGGGAGGCTGAGGCAGGAGGATTCTCATGAGTTCAAGGTCACCCTAGGATATGTATGAGTTCAAGGCCAGCTTGAATTACAAAGACCCTGTCTCAATAAAACTAATAATAATAATGAATGTAAACTGAATTTATCTGGATCTAGATTAAGCAAGAGTTATCAGAAAAGTTGCAGGCAAACGTGGCTATGGTTATATGCACAGGACGACACTTTTATCCCTGTTACCTAATGAATATTCTCCTTTTAGAATCTATTTTTCTTTTGGTTTTCTAAATTACACTGAAGTATTACATTCTAAATGACAGTTGTCAATTAGTTTGGAGACACTTTCTCTATCACTTTGTAATAGAACACATTGCTATTGCTACTAATAATGGTGTGATTTCTACTATTGATGGTCTTAATAATGATACTACTAGAAGTAACATTTTATTACCACTATACTACTTAAGTAATAGTAATTTTAGTAATGCAATATCTTGAAGGTGCATTTTCCTGAAATGACCACTTCAGCTTCAGTTTTTTCTGTCACTTGGTACTTGAACCAGTTCCCAATATTGTTAATGCCTTATTCATTCTTTCTTTAGATAACAGCAGAAATCAGTATAGAAAATCTAATGCATTAAATAGAAATTTTTCAAAACAACTTATACTCAAATACACTAGAATTGTACTTGGTTTCAATCACTGTAAAACACATTTCTTCTGTCTTGGGAAGCAGAGCACATTAGGCAGAGTGAAAACCTGGCTAAAACCTCACCACATCACTCACATCAAAACTCACAGTACCATGTCCACTCACTCCTACGGACATGGGACCTCAGGGCCACCACAACCTGGAGCCTTCAGAACAGCCATTGTCCTGTGCTGGGAACTCGGGGCTCTGAGCAACCATCACATTTGAAAAGGGATTCAATAATGTTGCCAGAACAGAAAGTGTAGACAGCAAAATGCTGAGCTTATATGTTCATAACTACATGGACCTGTGCAAACTTCCATCTTTTCCTAGATGTCACGAAGGGTTTCAGGGGCTCAACAGGGTCAAGTATGTGACATATGGTCAGAAGGATCATGTTTTGTTAAAATCCATGTCATATTATTTTATTGTGTTTGCATGTGGACTTCTACATAGCTGTCATCAGCACAATCTGTTGTAGAAATTTGTATTTGGAGGTAACACACAGACTAGATAAATGAAGCTCAGTATCAGAATTCTGGTTCCTTCACTCAGTTTATTTCATTTAGTGACAATGTCTTTTCCCACATTTGTAAGAACTGATGTGAATTGATTTGTTTTGAGCATTTGGTGACATCCTAAAGTAATTCGATTAAGAATTACCGATCTGCATTTTAATTGGAGAATGAGTACTATTTAGTTTTGACTTCTAAATTTCATCTAAATTCAACATTTAAATAAACAACATTTTTACTGAGTACATTTAACTAGTCTTGTTTGTGTGTGGCTATTGGTTGCTGTAAATTTAATGATTCATTTATAGGGAATGTTTCCTACAGATGTCTTTGGTAAAAGGACAAATTTGGAGTAGGCAACAATAATTTACTTAATTTATCTTAAACTTGGTTTCAGTGAGCAACCCTAATTACCCTGATTTTTTGCTGATAATCACTCTCAATGGAATCAAATCACAAATCCAGGGATGGATTGAGCGGCACGCAGAAGGAAGCAGCCCTCCGCGCACTGGTCCAGCGCACAGGATATAGCTTGGTCCAGGTAGGAACGTCTTGCGACATCTGGTGAGACCCGCCACCAAATTCCCAGTGGTGGGGATCTTAGTGGCCCTCAGATGTAAAATTTGAATGATTCAGCTGTCCTTTTCCAAAACGGAAGAAAAGTATATCATTTCTGTTTTATAGGTGACCCTGCAGGCTCTACCTGGGGCAATCCACTCAGCCTCAACTTGTCATTTGTAATCATAATCCATATCCGTAGTCAGAGAGACTATCTCAGTTTTGAAAGTACATTTTAGAATATAGAAAAGCAGCTGGAATTTCCAGGCCTTAGTAAAGTAAAACTAAGCTTGTACGTAAAGAATCAGTAAGAGAAAAATGCTCAGAAATTAGCTTTTGTTTCCAAAGAAATTACTGAGATGTAGGAGGACTTCTACATGCAAGTACCCAAAACTGCACATTTTGTCATTTTAGCTTTTGTTTTTTTTTTTGTCATTTTGTTTGTTTAGAATACCTACGCATTTAATCTAGGACATGTAACACTAAACTCAGTCAATTTTAGCACTTTTGAAAAGGAAAAATGTAGCGATTTGAAAGCTATCTGTTTATAGACCTCATGTTCAAAGTTACTTGTGTATTATTATTGTTATTATGATAACTTCTTTTAGAAAACTTATGCTGCATTAAAGAGCAAACTAGTGTTTTAATTAAAGTTGCTGTCACTACAGTGAGATTCCTCAGCTATTTTCTTTCACCCACCTAATTCTTCAACTTAATCAAATCTCGGTACTATTGAATACAAATAGCACCTGTGATGAACAATAAACTATACAATCATGTCATTTCATTAGATGTCCCTTTCTCAGATTGTTGCAAAAGGTACTAAATTCTAATTCTATAAATCATGATGTTTTGTTAGACTTAATATGATGCTCAAAGTTTTTTATAGTTTTAATTCTAATGAAAAGCACTATTTAGACTACTTTAAGATTTCAAAGTTTCTTTTTCATGATTAACTTTGTTTAAATCAAAGATGAAACTGATGCATTATGTCCATACTTAAAAGTCAAATTACTTTAGATTCATTAATAAACTTTAATATTTTAAGCTCTAAAATTAATCTGCCTCAAAATAAAGTATTAAAATGTCTATGCACCTTTCCACTGCGCTAAAAGAGTATGTACATATATATATGTGAAAAATTCCATAGAGTTTGTAGTCTACAATACCAGTGATCTTCATATAATTTTTAACACCTTTTCATATACAGTTAGTTGAAAAAGGGTTTTCATTCTTTTGGTGATTAACAGTTCCATAGATGTTATAAAAATCAAGCTGTTTTCCAACCTCTTGAGCTTTTGTTTTGTTTTCTTTTGTTTTTATTTTCAGCTTCCCGGTGTCTCAAACATTTATTGAAAGGCAGTGGTAGTATAAAGCATTTCAACTTCTTTGAAATCCATGGCAATTGTTTATATAAAGATGTTTCCCTTTCTCTAATGATACAAAAATGATGGAAATAGGTATAAACCTTACAAAAATAACATTTATATTATGATACCATCACAAACTAAGTGTGTAAAAATGAGGAAATTAACCAAACTACAATCATTACATTCAATAAACATAATTGATAGGAAAAAATCCTAAGACAACATAAATTGTCCATTTAATTTGACACAGGGAACTGATTCTTCTTTTTCTCCCAGATGAAATTCAGATCAAAGTTCATTACTTTTTTGGTAACTTTCAGGTAAAAATTTTAAAAAGCTTCTTCACTTAAAACTCAGTATGTCTAGTCTCATATAATAATAGAGACTTACTATTATTTCTCTTCCTCATTATGTCAGGGTGCAGGCGATTTCCAGTCTCCTGATGTGCGGTGTACACTTCCTATACCAGTTTGCTAACTATAACATCTGACTCAGAGTTGAAGCAGAAAGAGAAATAAGAGCAAAGGAGAGAGAGAAACGGTTTTACTTGACTCATTCCTGCACTGGGGTCTCTGGGGCCAACAGATAAGAGCTGTGGGAGTCTCTGTGGGACTATCAGAGGTACCCTTAGTTCTACTAGAGTGTCTCACCTGGCTGTCCTTTTTCGACCTCAGCTTCTTCTATTGCACTCTTATTTGACACTACGCAGCCCTCTTGGAGAGGTTGGAATGTAACAGATGATTCCTGCATGTACCCAAACTCTGGTTCACTGTACACACATTATTTTGATCTGGTACAAACCTGGAAGTCCAGGTGACATAAAGCAGCCAGCTCCCCTCACCAGTATCAGTGCAGCAGGCTGCCCCATCACTCACCCATAGTTGCTTCAGAAAAAGAGAAGACCCACAAGCCTATTGCTCCCCCAAACACAAACGCAGAGAGAAGTACATGTCCATTTCCCTAAATGCTGCACTCACTACTTTTTTCTCCTGTCTTAGGCCAAAAAAAAAAAAAAAAAAAGCACCTCCTTTCACATAGGGAGAGCTAGTGCTCAGTGAAGAGGCAGCTATCCTCAGATATCTCTGTGTAAGTTCCAATATCCTCTCTCAAACTCTCCAATCTCAGCTTTTCCAAGCTGGAATGTTGTGAGAAGTAAGAAGGCAAAAGCAGCCTCCTGCTACGTTCTGGTCCTAAGTGCTTTAGACGCTAAACCAGAAAGCTAGAGTCCAATTTCGTCCTAAGGCCATGTTACAAATCAAGTTATGTTCAGTTACTAAAAGTGGTCATTTGAAAAACTCATCAGGACAGAAAATTGTGACACATCATTTTTACAGCAATACGAAAGTATGCGAATGAGTTTTTTTTAAAAAAGACTCCAATAACAACAGAGATAATTCATTCCATTATAACATCTTATTCCATTATGCTTGTGCTATGATTTAAGAACATTTCATAATAGAAGAAAAGCAATGTTATTATTTTAAATCTTTTATATGAAATACTCATATGTAACCAGTCTGAACAGTATTTCAATCTTATATAGTCAATAATATTTAAAAAGCAGTTAACAATGAAGATTTGGGTCACAACAAAATAATGGAAAAAATTTATTCAGTACTAATATTGTAATAGCTTTGCATATATGAATTCATTTACTTCTTCCTGAAACGTTATGAGGTAGCTTTTACGATCATCCCCAATTTCTTGATAAGGAAAACAGGCCTAAAGAGGTTAAGTAACTTCCAGAATTTACAAGCAGGATTTGTTACTGGCCAAAACTTCTGGTCAGATGTAGCGACCTAAAAGTAGCTGTAATATATTTTTTAGGACTGTCATGTTAGAGATTAGCATGCCAAAGGATACAGAAAAACTCTTTGTTGGAAACTAAACTTTGTAAGATGACTCACATTAAACAATATTTATTAGAATTACTATTGGTTCAAAACTCTCCAGTAGTATGGAATCCTGAAAATTTTAAAAAGTAGATATTTAGGCCTAAAACATCTCCAATCAAAATGTAAATACACAGATGCTTAAATTGTTGTGAATAAACTGGCAGATCCATTCTGATTTTGGCCGCAAAATGTGGAAAATCACTCAAGATTTCAAAGAACAAGATTTATAATCTAACCTGTTCCCTACCACATCTAAGTTCTGTGCTCTTGAACAAGTGCCTTAACTGTTTCAAGCCTTCATTTTTCAGACTGTCAGGTAGGTCTTACCCTACTCTATTACGGATATTTTATGATTCTAGTATCTTTTGAATTGAGTCATTTTTCACCAAGCTGAATATTTTGGTTGAACAAGCAGACCAAGCTTGTGTCAAGATATAGCTACCAACCTTGTAATTTACAGAAAGTTCTTTATATTTCTTTTCCTTCTACTCTGGATTATAGAAACAATTAATATAATTATCAAAAAGGGCAATATGTGGTCTTCTTTTTTTAAATCTCTACAAAAATGATAATAAATTTCTTAATACAATAAAAAGACCACTTCTACAAAATGACAGTTTAGAATTTTATAGTAATTGCTAAGATACAGATTGAAGGATTTAGTTTTGCTGTACCTTGTAATCTCAAATACTAAGCATGGATTCCTGCAAAACAAGAATTCAAAAAGTAAAAGATGATGATTTTGTGGTATCTTATCACTAAGAAGACAAATACAGCTATTAAGGATAGAATTTTGCAAGTTACTTAATAACACGAGCTGTTCTTTTATATAGCAACTGATGCAACAACCTGTGCTCAAGAGTGTTTAAAAACGTGCTATATGATATCATTTTATAATTAGATATCTTCATATATTGATGGCTGAAATTTCATCAAAGTACTTTAGAGAAAAAAAAAGAGGCTCAATACAGTACCCTGAATATAGCGGGCATTCAACAAATATTATTGATGAAAAATTGTATAAAGTTGACAAGTTAAACTTTAAGCTTCATAGTTAGAGTAAGCCCTGAACAAATATCTGGGAATTATACTACAGTGTTAACAAGGAAACAGTCTTTGTCTCTGGGTAATATTATTTGTGTGAGTTTTTTCTCAGCCTTTTCACTCCTAACGATGCTTCCCAGACCTTCTAAAGCTAGCAAATGTTTCTTTGTGAGTTAGGGAAACAATTACATTATGATTCTCCATTTCTCAAGAATACGTTAATGATGTGCATCATAAACTCTGTAACATGAGGATGCTTCTTCCTCCACCTGGAGTTTTCCTTAGAAAATTTCTGAGACCTAGGAAAATGTATTCTCATAGAGGAGTGTATTCAGAAAGCTTTCTACCCAATGTAGGGTCAGTTTACTTGAATTTTAATTCTATTACAACTGAAACTAAATATATGTTTAATAAAGCCAGCCCTCAAGTAGTCTGAATGTAGATGCAGGATAGATGCCACATGTTATTTTTAAATTACTTAAAAGATAGCATATATCAGCATTATTTATCTAGTGTTTCCCACTGTTTTCCAGGAATCATTACATCTCAATCAGTGTTTCTGAGGTATCATAGTCTTGTTGCATTTATAAATCAATCATTGTTCTGGATAAATATCAAAGGTTTTTATTTTTCTGGTGTCACTCCTTAGTCTCTATTATTGAAAAACAAATATG